CATAAAACAAATATGGTTTATTTAAAGATTCTTTAAAAATTACAACGATGGCCCAAATCATACATTTGCTAGTGATTTTTTTCTTTCTTGCCTTGGAAGTAACAACTCAGTGTAGTGTTGCATCCTTGAAAATCTGAAATCATAATACCCATAATTGGAATAGTTGGGCTAAAATTGTAGCTTATATCAACACTACTCGGGATTATTTTAGTAACTTACTTTTCATGTGGAAATGAATCTTTTCATCAATATATTTCAAATGAGCAATGGAAGTGGTCCTTAAGAAAAGGTTTTTTTGTTGTTTGGTTATACTGATTTGTAAAATATAATACTATAAATTGTGCTCTGAAAGAAAATAAAATGTTTGAAATCCAGATAATAGTCTTACTGTTAAGAGGTGTAATAGTTATTAATAAACTTGATAGGCTTGCATTTTTCATGTAGTGTTTATTCCACTTCCAGTTAGAGTATAAATATGCTATATTACTAAAGCGGCTAAATAACCAAACCAAGTGTTTGTGTGAAAAAAGACTTGCCAAGATTTATTTGTTGAATCTTGAACATCCAGCCTCTTAAAGAGAACCCCTCTTAAGGAGCCTGCAAACTATGCATGATGAAAATTCTTGCATTTCATTAAGGAATGGCCATTGGTTTACTCAACACATCTTAGGGTATCATGGCTATAAATTTAGTTGCTTACAAAACTCTTTGTGACTTGTGGTTAAACTTAGTCTCACATACCATGTAAATACTAAATTATAGGATGTTGAATAACATCTTTAAATTGCTGTCTGTATTGACTAAAGAGCAACTGAGTAATCCATTAGGTAAAAGCATGTTTCAAATGAAACCTAGGTGGATTTATACTTTATTTGTATTATGTACAGATTTAACAGCATTCAGTATTAACTGTGGCTTGACTGTTAAAGTATCAGAATGCAAATGAGGTTCTTTATGTTACCTGACTGTCATAAAGATGAAAAAGATTTGTATCGGTATAAGGCGTTAAGATTTTTTATCCTGCTTTGCAAGGAGAAGTTTCATTTATGCTGTTTGGACTCCCATGAACTTTCACACTACCTAAAACTACCATTGTTTTTATCCTTGCTTTTTTTTTTTCTTCCTATTCAGAAAAGTATACAATCTGAATTAAGTCTTACTATAAGTGTGATAAGACACTAGCCTCTCCAAGGAATTTGGAGAGTGTATTGGACTATGTCCTCTCTTCTCCCCAGCTGCCAGGTGCTTAGAAGGCAATGTGAGGGAGAGTGAAGAGCTTGGGCCCTGGAGTCAGCCTGTGTCCCAAACCCCACTCTTCCTTTTACTTGTCTCAGCTTCAGGCTCCTCACCTGTAAGATGGGGGTGACAAGAACAGTACCTGCAGAGTCACAGAATTGCTGGGAATTAATTTGTGATTCATACATGTAATGAACATAGAGCCGTGTCCACTGCTTTTCATTCAGTATCTAGGATTGTGTGAGATAGAATATGCGTGTCTTTCACATTCTCTACTTACCATTTCTTTTACTTGTAGTCTTGGGTTCCTGTAATAAAAGAAATGTATAGGTAGAATATATATTTGTATATTCATGTTGACACTATTTAAAATAATTGCTACCACCCGGCCTGGGTGGTTCAGTGGTGGAGCATCGACCCATGAACCAAGAGATCACCCATTGGATTCCTGGTCAGGGCATATGCCCGGACTGCTGGCTCAATCTTCAGTAGGGGCTGCGCAGGAGGCAGCCATTCAGTGTTTCTCATCGATGAACTATTCCTCTCTTCCCCTCTCTCTAAAATCAATAAAAACATATTTAAAATAATTGCTACCTTCCTCATTTAATTCATTGTAAGACTAACAGATGGAAGCCTCCAAATTGCTTGAAGATGTTTTGCTAAATACCAACTGCTCTATATTTCTTTAGAGAAAGTTTATAGTAATAGTGATAGCTCTGGTTATATTTCATTCTTAAGTCTTTAATGAGTCCTTTTACATCCTTTTATAGATTCATGAGATCTAATTAGTATTGACTGATTTAGAGGTTTTGTTTTCCATGTGGAATTACGTAAAAAAAATCAGATGCAAAGTAATTGCAATTAGAAAATAAAATGAAGTAACTTAAACACTGCAATTGATTCTTTCAAACTGACATTTCTAACTAGAACTTCTTTGTGATTCTTTTATGAGATTTTTATTTTTTTTAAAATGGTATGTAATATATGAGGGAAATGTATGCTTATCTGTTTTTTATTTGTGTTTCTGGTTATTTGATTTAGATGAATCCATTCAATGAGACTTCATATATGGGGTTGCATTTTCTGGGTGAGTTAATTGGTTACACACCTGTGCCGAAGATGACATTTTCTAATGTTAAATCAATTGTCCAGAATGACCTTTTCAAAATCACATCCAACGGACCTTATTTTGTACTATGCAAAGATATATAGGTGAAATAGATATTTATTAACTTGCTCATTCTTAAAAAGCCAGTATTTTCTGTTCCAGTCCAGGCTTTTAGTTCACAACTTGATATAATGGCAGATCAGAAAGTGGGGACAGAATCTAAGTGAAATCCTATTGCTGATTTGATCCACTGGAGTGTCAGATACAGAATTGGTTGGGTCTTTTGCAAATTTGATACAGTTCAGTATGTAGTTTATGATATTAAATATTAGAAATCTAAGAATAATTGGAATTTTTTTAAATATATTTTATTGATTTTTTACAGAGACGAAGGGAGAGAGAGAGTTAGAAACATCGATGAGAGAGAAACATCGATCAGCTGCCTCCTGCACATCTACTGGGGATGTGCCCGCAACCCAGGTACATGCCCTTGACCGGAATCAAACCCGGGACCTTTCAGTCCGCAGGCCGATGCTCCATCCGCTGAGCCAAACCGGTTTCGGCAATTGGAATATTTTTGATAAAGGTTATCAAAAGCAAACAATTTTTTAAAGTGAATTTTACCTAGCTGTTCCTGCAAAGCAATAAAAACTCTTAATCTCATTATATCCAGCCCTTGAGTGCACATCTTTTTAATATTTCATGTGACAAAATAGGAAGTGCTACATAAAGCACTTCTGCTCATCCTGGGAAGTACAGTTGTCGCAAGGAAAAACGTGTGTGACTATTTCAGTTGCAAACTAAACTAGCCACTGCTGCTCATGGAACACCATTTTTACTTGAAAGAATTGACTGGTTTTTCAAACTTGGTTTGAGGAAGACATTTTCTCACAAGTGAATAAAATGAGCCTGTCACTTGAAAGAATACAACTGAAAACATTTGTTGGAAGTGATAAAATTTGAGCTTTCAAGTAAAAATTAGAACTTAGAAAACTAGTACCTGCTACTAGCTTGACAGCCTCAGTGAAGACTTCTGAAAAGATCAGTGATGGTATTAATGAATGTGACTTTAAATATTGTAGAATGAAATGTGTTGACATTTGGAAGTTCATGGATTAGCCAATATTTTCTAAATGATCAGTGGGTTTAATTGTAATAGTATGAAAAGATCATTGATTCAGTGTTAGGTTCTACATTGCAAGTACCCTTTATGAAATTATCATTTGTTAAGATTGGGTGTAATATCAAAGAACATACACAAATCTGAAAAGGCTATTAAAATACTTTTCTTCCAACCACATACCTCTGAGGCCAGATTTTCTTCATATGCTTTAACCAAAATAATATATGGCAACACATTGAAAACAAAAGCAGATAGATGACTGTCTTCTGTTAAGACCATAAAGAGATTTGCAAATATGTGAAACAATGCCACTCTTCTCAAATTTGCTCACTAAAAGTATGTTTTTAAAGCATTGGCTTTTTTTTTTTTGGTAACTAAAAATCATTAAATATCTTTTTAGATTTTCGGATACATCCCTATTTCAGAGATACAGCACACAAGTAAACTAGTCATTGCAAGGACAACTGACAGTGTTGCCAATACTACAATCGTGCTTTCAAGTAAAAACTAGACTTTTGGAAAACTTAGCACCCACCATTAATATATAAAAGTTGCTTGGGAGTTTCAATTTTAGGTGTAAAGTAGGGTTTGGTGAACTTTCTCTAAAGGACCAGTTAGTAAATATTTTATGTTTTGTAGACCATGTCTGTTACAGCTCCTCCATTCTGCCATTGTACCATAAAAGCAGCTGTGGACAACATGTAAACAAATGAGTGTGGTCATATTCCAGTAAAATAACAGAAGTAGGTGGCAGGCTTCCAACCCCTGCTGTGAAGGTGGTCTGAGACAAAACATTTAGAACTGCACTAGACTAACAACTAGATACAAATCTTAAGATAACGATGAAGTTAACCTAATGGAAAAGGCCCAGCTAACTTAAAAAAAAAAGTTTGTTAAAATTGTTATTGTTGAAAGTATTACAGATGCCTCCTTTTTTCTCCATTGAACCTCCCTACCCTGCACCCACCTCTCCCAGGCGTTCACCACTATTGTCTGTCTGATGAACAAAATAGATCCAGAGACATAGAAGTATGGAACAGACTGACGAATCTCAGAGGGAATGGGGTTGATGGGAAGAGATTAACCTAGTAACTTAATGTGCATATATGCATAGCCCATGGACACAGACAATACTGTGGTTAAATGTATTTTATTAATTTTAGAGAGAGGAAGGGAGAGGGAGAGAGAAACATCAGCTGCCTCCTGCACACACCCCCATCAAGGATCTAGCCAACAACCTGGTCATGTGCCCTAACTGGGAATTGGGAATAGAACCAGCAAACACAGTGCCACAGAACAAGGCTCAACCAACTGAGCCACACCAGCCAGGGCACAAACTCGTTTTTAAAAAATGTGTTTTTATTTCAGAGAGGAAGGGAGAGACAGAAACATCAAGGATGAGAGAGAATCGTTGATCGGCTGCCACCTGCACACCCCTCCACTGGGGATCAAGCCTGCAACCCCAGTAATCAAACCCTGACCTCCTGGTTCATAAGTCAAGGTTCAACCATTGAGCAACACTGGCTGGGCACAAACTCATTTTTAAAACATGGCTCAAATAGACACTGTTCATAGATGGTATGATGATAAAAAAAAAGTCAATTCTCTCCATAAGTCATAGTAGTAATAGATGCCATAACAGACAGAAATACCAGAATGGAGAGCTCAGTTACCTATGCAGATGTAAAATATGATAAAAAGTGCTTTGTTTCAGAATCAGTGGGGAAAGGAGAAATTATTTAATAGATAGTGCTGGGAAAGCCACTTTATAGAGAAAAGTAAATATGGAACTATCATATCACATAAAAGAAATACAATTGCTTTAGAGTTAAGGTAAATCTGTAATGGAAAATACAGACTATCTTGGAGTCGTGGTAGTATACTAGTATACTAAACAAGACCTCTGATTTTTATTTCCTTCCTTCTACTAACTACCTGATGCTACAGCTTGGGTTTGCCCCTTTTCCCCCTTGACTCCCAATTCCACTGAGGTTTAAGGGCTGCAATAAACTTCCCACAATTTGACCTTTTATACCTGCATTTTGAAAAGACCTCTTAAAGCATAAACCATAGAGGAAAATTGATAAGAATTTATTTTGTAACCCCGGGAAAGATTGGATCAAGCAAGAACTATCAATAGATTCTAAATCTAGGGGGAAGTTTTGACAAGGAGGAGGATATTTGCATGGCCTTAGTACCTCCCCACAGATTGCTTATAAATTAAAATAGTAAAATATAGTACCTCTACACTGGAGCAAGCCAATTAGATAAAATTGCTCCATGTTATATTTACTGAAGTTGATAACTAATGTGGTTGTGCAGGAGAATATCCTTAGTCTTAGGAAATACACATTTAAATATTTAGGGGTAAAGGGCCAAGTTTATGGATGCAACTTTCAAAACATTTGATAAAATATTAAAGATATAGATAGAAATACAAATGATAAAATAAATGCGGTAAAATGGTAATGATAGGTGAATCTGAGTAGAAGGTATATGAATATTCTTTGTAAACTCATTCTTTTTTGTTTGTCAATCCTCACCCGAGGATATTTTTTCCATTGATTTTCAGAGAGAATGGAAGAGGGTGGGTAGAGAAAGAGAGAGAGAGAGAGACATCAATTGGTTGCTTCCCACATGCGCCCTGATCAGGGACATGGATCGAACCTGCAACCCAGGCACATGCCGTTGATCAGGAATTAAACTTGAAACTATTAGGGGCCGGGGATGGAGCCTGCAACCGAGGCAGGTGCCCTGGACCAGAGTCGAACCGTGACCCTTCAGTTTGAGGGCCGTAAAGTCATTCTTGAAACTTTTCTATAAATTTGAGATCGTTTCCATATAAGAAGCTTTTAAATGGGTTGATTTGGGCATAAAAATTAAGGAGGCTTGCTAATCTTAGGGTTAGTTGACTAGTGTGAAATATTTGCAAC